CCCAAGTTCCCATCAGCAAAAACACGTGGTTTGCTATCCTGGCTCCAAAATGGTGGAATGAGCTCCCCATTGAAATCAGGACAGCAGATAGCTTGCTCATCTTCCGGCGCAGACTGAAAACTCATCTCTTTCGACTCCACTTCGAGCGATAGAATTACTAACAAAGAACTGCTAACAGAGCACTTATATACTAATAAAGGACTGGCTTATCTAAAGCCAGTTGAGTAGCACTTGAAATGTTTGGCTCTATGAAACCTGATGTACTTATATGATTCTGTTTTCTTCAAGGTTGTATCTTCCTGGTCGAATTTACTTACTGTAAGTCGCTTTGGATAAAAGCGTCAGCTAAATGCAATGTAATGTAATGTAATGTAATGTGTGAGTATGTGTGAGACTTTAAAAATATCAGCACAGTAAGCTAAATTAAGTGAGTTTAAAGGTGCATATTTAGATCTGATATGATATCTTAACACTAATACACTAATCCAAAGCAAAACACTCTACATCTCTCCTGTAGTCCAGAGCAACAGAAGAGTTTACACACACAGGGTTAAAAGCATGAATCACGTACCTTGTTTTGGAAAGCACGTGTTTCCTCAGGCGCGTATTGTACCCAGGTGAATCTCTTTATGTCTTCAGCGCTGTGCTGACACGTCTCCAAGTGGGACTTAACAATACTCTGAGTGATGCGCTCTGTCAAAACACAAAAGAACATACACAGATAAACGAGAGTGTTTCCTCACTCAGGTTGTTTGTGATGGCAGCAGGTTTTATATGTAAGAGTGGTGTTATTTGCACAACCACAGATCATGGAAACCTGATGCTTTGCACCGTTCTGCTCTCACTTCTGGCACAGATGCCCGGACAAGATAAAGTGTTAAGGCTCATCAACTCATTTTACATCCGCAGCTGTTTGGCTCTCTTCCACCTCCTGCACTTATAAAACCCACCCGTCACAATATTTACCCATTGCTTCGTTGAGAGGTCCCTAGAGCTCTATTAAAGCCTCCATGCAATGGTTTGGTGATGCCAACAACCATAAAGAAGTAAAATAAAAATATATATTCTTCCTCAAGGCCTCCTAAAAATGCTGAGCTTTTCTTACCACCACACCATCATCCCTTCATCTGACCCTGTTTCGATCTGATACCGATCTTACTTTCTGTTTTGCTGCACTATCCATCTGTAGTGTATTATTCTGGTTCTACCTGCTTATAACAGGGTTCTTACGGTCATTAAAAACCTGGAAAATTCATGGAAATTCAAAACGCTAATTCCAGGCCCTGGAAAAGTTATGGAAAACAATATTTTTCCCAAAGTTTTGAAAGAGTAATGGAAATGTAATTTATATTTTATCTAATCGCCGAAATAGTAATACTATAATGATAATAAATACTGTATCGTATAGTAATGAAACGTAAAATGGCATTTAACTGACTAGCTAGTAAGCCTATTGGATTTGTTTTTAGATAGGCACAACATGTTTCATATGCAGACCTTATTTTACTGTTCCGTTTTAAAATAAACCATTTTCAGTGGTACCGCTGAGAAAGAGTAATGTTTTTGGTCATGGAAAATTAGGTACAGTAAAGGTCATGGACAAGTCATGGAAAAGTCATTGAAAATCATTGGTGAAAAAGTGTATGAACCCTGTTATTCTTAAACTACCTATTTACAGATTGAGATTCCTCAGTTAAAAACAGGAAGAATTATTGTCAGTAAAGTAGTCTCAAATAAAGTTCCACATAGGATTTAAAACCCCATTTGAAAACGATATAACTGTTGAGTTTTGCCATGCAGCGGGGAAAAAGGTTCCTGAAACCGTTCTGGGAGGCCGAATAAAATATTGAACTCTTCGATACGCCTAACATGAGAACTCCCTCTCTTTGGCGTCACATACAGTATTGTACAACCTCTGTTTCACCAAACATGGCTCCTGATCCCTGACCCCAGAGTGCTGATGGTTTGCTCCAAAAAAATCAGCTGCTCAACCAATTTAAAAAATCAAACTCAAGCCAAGACAGAGACACTCCATCAAGAGGCAATACAACAGAATGGGACATTTCTGACCAGTTTCTTGTGGCTGCTGTGGGAGGTGACGACACAAAGCTCCATCAGGATTAGTGCACAGTGCAAAGGCATCATTCAGAGAAACAGTTAGACAAGAAGGAAACAAAGTAAGTATAACAAATTGTTTGCTTTCCTCTAGAGAGTGAAATGAGAAGATTGATACAGATTTCTATTGATGTGAACATAGAAGCTCAGGATGTAGTTTAGGCCTGGCTTACAGACCTCTGTGACTTGAACCGTTAATCGATCGAGACACGCCATGTCGAAGGACGTCCCAGTCGCTTAAATGCCTAAGGAGGAGTCGAGGCGAGAGGAGTTGAGGAGAGAGGAGGGCGGGGGCTTCCAGAGGAGACGAGAGCGAGGATACATGAGTGCAGACTACACAAAGGTGTTATCGCTACTCGTGCATCAAAGCTCCGCCCCCAACTGTCTGCTCACTGCAGCTGTTCTGAATCAAAGCTCCGCCCCCAGCTGCACAGCCGTCTGCTCACTGCAGCTGTTCTCAATCAAAGCTCTGCCCCAGCTGCACAGCCGTCTGCAGCTGTTCTGACAGTTAAAGGAGGATCAGAGTCATTACATGTTTAAAGTGCTTCAATGCGAGTAAAATATATCAACCTCTTAAACAAATAATGAACTCATACTCTATAAAAACATTAAAGTGTGTGAAATATGCTTACAAATTCAATAATAATGGTTTGATTATAAAATAATAACTTACATTTCTTACTTGTGGTTTCTCATGTGTTTGGATAGGAGTTGTGTTTGGATGAACTTCTCAGTGGAATTTGATATGTCAAAACCTTAACACAGAAGGCATTATAACCCCTGGTTTTGTTGTGAAAACAAACAAGATTAAAGGATTGGGTACATCTCTTCTGTGTCAGCCTGAGAGTAAACTTTATTCAGTATTGAGAGGGAGAAGTAAAGCTGGCCTGTGGCAGGAATGATTCCATTGATTCAGTTTGAAGTTTTAATGGACCAAGCCAAAGGACTCAAGACATCTGGTTCATTTGAGTTAAGCCCGTCAAAGAACCATCAACACAGAACAGAGAACGCTGGTACCACCTGGACTGCTGGAACATGTAGCAGTGAACTTTCAAATTGAAATAAAATTTGTTTTGTTAAGTTATCAGTTCCCTTTTAGAGAACACAGAGCACATATCTAAATATATTTATACCTAAATCATCTTTTATGTATGCGTAATGCACTTCTGAACGAACATTTAAATGGTTTTATAACCACATTTAAAGTGTGCAAGATGTAAACCATTTTTTGTAAAGACATTGCCGCCAGTTACATATTGATATTTGACCTTGTGGTGTAATTTTTTTACAAACCACTATCTCTCCTGGAGCTTTTTTTCCAATGCAGCATGTTCTAAAACATATACAACGAAATAGAAGTTATTCAATACATTCACAATTATTATGGTGGGAATTTTGCTGATCTGGCATCACCTTCAGTAGGGTCAAGATGCTGTGGCAGTAAGTTGAACTTCTACTTAAACTTCTTAGTCTGGTTTACAGATAGATTTCCTTCAACGTTAAAAGCAACCAATGTTGACTGTTGGTAGAAGACAATGCCAAAATACAGTCTCAAAGTTATTCATGTGAGTAGTAATAAGGGCCGTTTCTTCAAAGTTGACCTGCTACATGTATATATAGGTATTTTGCTTAAAAGTAAATGTATTTTTCTTTTGTGCCATGCTTTTGCAGAGACATCTATCTCCTGAGGACTTCCAACAGGTTTTCTGCATGACCCTGCAGCAGTTTGACCGTCTGGCCCTCTGGAAGAAGACCGATCTGAAGAAGAAGGCACGTCTCTTTTAGAAAAAAGAAAAGTGTCTCAAGAAGCATCCGTCCTGTGTTCCACAAAACCGAAAAAATAAACGCAACCCATTTGAAATATCTATATATGCACCGCCGTGATACCCCTACTTTCCACCTGTCGATCGTCATGCCATCTGCCTGATGCCAGAGAGGAGCCTGTTCCCTGTGGAACCTTTCACCATGTTAAAGCAGCATCTGAAAACGTTTGTATGCAATGTGCTCTGAATGTTTGACTGACAACTCTACAGATGAGGATGAGGAGCTGCTTTTGCATGGCCTGTGTTGATGCTCCTCGTCTGCATCCCCCCCCATCTCCATGCTTACAAACACCATGGCCAAATATACGCATTCAGAATAATTCTGGTGCCGGACTATCCCCAGCTTTATGTGTTTCTGAGTGTCTTATGTGCAGCTTCTTATACTCTGTCAGTCCGGACATTTGTATGTTTTTTTTATCAGCAACTAGTTTGTTTCATCATCTGTCTCTACATAACATTGTTTTGCTTCTCTCATTTTTCTCTCTTGCTGTCCCTCCATTATTTAAACTTTTTTCCTTCATTAAGTCATTTAATAGTAAACGTTACTTTAAGGCAGTAAGGCAACCGCAGACTTGAAGAACAGAGATGAAAATAAGAAAAAAGTTAGCTTCTGTGATCTCTTTCTTCAAAAAGTACCTTATCATACACTGTGTTCCTCGCTGGGGAGTTTTGATATGTGTTCCCTTATCTTACGCAAGCATCCTGTAAATCAGCGCTGATAGGAGAGCCGAGGCTGGATAGGGGCGTAACATGGCAGTAAATCACAGATAGAGAGGGGGGTGTCAAAAAGGAGGAGGCCAAAGGAAGAGCCCTGAAGAAAACATGTATCACAGTTTCCGGGTGTGCAGAGGTGTCAACAAACAAATGAAAATATTTTTTATAAGCTATTGTTGACTTCTGGAAAGTATCATTCAACAGTCATGAGACACAGCTGAAAGAAATCATGATTTTGTTACTGTACATGGGGGGAAAAAGCCCATGCTGACTTCTTTGTGTGCTGCTTCACAGACCTGCAGCAGCACTTCTGCTTTATAGGTGGGGATGTGCTTGATTTAACTCAAAGCTCTAGCTGTGTTATATCTTCCTCAGATAGATATTTACCTCCTGTATATGTTTGTTGTTTGTTTGGAAGCTTTGTTGCATACAGTAAAAGCTCCACATTTAAGCTGAAGTCCATAAGCTTTGCTTAATGATTTCTGGACTGTAAAACTCGCCAACGTACATACTGCAAGATGTATCTGAACATATACTGGACATATACCAGACATATTTTCCATATTTGTCACCTAACAAGCCAAGGTGTATAACTCTTCAGGCATGCATGAGGGTTGGAAAACGGGGTTTGTCCACTGATCGCAGATAACATATGTATGGAAACATTATCAATGTGTTTTGAGTGATTGATTATTTAAATTGCATTAACTGAAATGCCCTGGTCAGCTGCTTACATTAGCCTATATTATGTATTTATTTAATTGCATTATGAAAGGATTTTATTTTTGAAATCTTAAGGGTGTAGCGTAGAATGAATAGCATCCCGGAGAAGAATGCTTTTGAAAAGAAACATATCAACTTTTGAGTTTAATCTGAGTGTCATATCATTTTTGCTCGTGTAAGTTACACCCTAACTGTTGTCATTAATGTCATGACCTCTTTCTAACATTCATCTGCTATTAAAGTGTTTTATCCAAACTACAGTCCCTTTGGGTTCAAGTGCTTGAGTTGGTTACATTGTTGCCTAAAATCCAATACTTATGAATCGTCCTTTACGTGTGTAACGTAAAGGTGTGTGGATGTTTTTTATGATGGAGAATTGAGTTGTACTGTAACTACATCATATTGTTCCAAAAGTTAAGGATAAAGTTCATCTTAAGCTGGGGAGAAAATTAATCAATCAATCAATGTTTATTTATATAGCCCAATATCACAAATGTTACATTTGTCTCAGTGGACTTCACAGTTTGTACAGAATATCAGTATCACAATGCGACACCCTCTGTCCTTTGACCCTCACATCGTATAAGGAAAAACTTCCAGAGAAAACCCACAGTTTAAAGGGGAACATGGGAGAAACCTCAGGGAGAGCAACAGAGGAGGGATCCCTCTCCCAGGACGGACAGACGTGCAATAGATGCCGTGTGTAAATTGAAAAGATAATACATTTACAACATAGGTAGTCCAAATGTTTGGAAATGCATGTGTCTGTAATAAGAAGATGAATCCACGAGGATGTCAACAATCCTGTGGGAGCCATCAGGGAAGTAGTATGGTGAGAGTCTGGCAGGACCGCAGTGACAGGTTCAGCAACGACTCGCAATCCAGGACTCATGATCAGGACTCAGGATCAGCCACGAAAACCCTTAATTTAGAGACACAATGGCTTGTGTTAGAAACTGCCATAAGGATGTTTTAGTGTCTAATGTTATATAGAAATAGCAACAATGACATTAGACCTCCAACCTCCAAATAAAGTGGGAACTAATCAGGCTAAACTGGCTTCTCATCAACATTTGTGATTGTCTAACTATCTGTTTCTTAAAAGTTGGAAATATACACTGATTAACATTGAGACTAAGTGGATCAGTTGGTTCGATCCGGCGCTCCATGCATGCACATTTCCCGATCCACAAATCACGTTACGTGGTTTCGCAGGAGTTCCACGTTATTTGGCTGTCTTTGCATTAGTTTACAGTGACTAGGGAATGGCAATGTGACATTATCAACACCTAACTGGCCATCTTTGAGAGACACCTGCGACTGCAACTCATTGACCCCTTTCAGTTTTAACTTTTTAAACATGGTCGGTTTACAACCAACAGTGTTGTGTTGCTGGCTGCAACAGCAAATCAAGAAAAAGGACTATTGGATTACATTTAATGCATTTGCAGCATGGAGACTTTATGAGAAAGGGGTAGCAGCAACGAAATGGCAAGGTGGTCAGCTTGGGAGGCAGCCAACTGCTGACTGTTTGTTGCTAAAATAATTGCTGGACTACAGTAACACAAAACACTACAGAGGGAATGAGATTTTAATCATGAAATGTAGTAGTTTAGATACCCGCAGAATAATTATGCGTGATAAACCTCAGTTTTTGAGCATTCCGTTAGCATAACATTAGCTATCTTACCTTTGTCCGGATGTTTGTATAGTTGTTATTGGCTCTGTAGATTTGAAGGTCCTACCATCTGTTTAAGATGTAAATTAGGATATTCACCTCCAAAGATTAAACATTTTCAAATTTGCCGTTTTAGTAACTCACTTAAAACTCCAGATGCCGACATCAATACCAGTGATTGGTGGAAAGTTGTCAAGATACTTTGACCATTCTTTAACTCATTTTAAAATAATACCTCTGTCAAAAGCTTCTCTCTGTAAAGACATATCTATTTTGTGCTTAATCATTTTGGAAGCAATACAGCTGACAAGCTATGGATATTGAGGCCTTCGTCGCCCCAGAATGCAACACGGTTCCCATTCCCTATATCATATTCATGTTGGTCATGGCTGAAACAACAAATCTCCTGACAACCATTATATCATTTTTTCTCTTCTTACCAGAAAACCAGCTAGAGGTGCGTACATCACCAAATGGAATTGAATTTGAAAGAAAACAGGACATCGACAGGTGAAGGCCTTGGTAACAGCCTTGGTTTCATAGCCTTGGCTAATGACGTAGTTTGCACCACCCTTGAAGATACCTTGCTGAGGGAAATATAAATTGGCCTTAATTTAGTGGGATACAAGGCTCCAAATGCTTTGAATTGTGATTTATCCCCAATAGATTTTTTTTTATTTGCAATAAGTGTGACGTTTTTACATTAGAATAATCCTGTGGCACAGCCCAAAAAGTTACAAAATGACACATTGTAGCCTAATACAGCGTGTATACAATGACAAGTCTCTCAATGAGTGTGAAACCTAGGCCTGTTTAGAACAACACAAAGCTGATTTCCCCAAATAGTCCGTGTTTTACTTTTGAAGTGACGGGGGTTCATTTGGAGAGCTTGCTGGGGACATTGCAATGTTCCAAAAAAAATCTATTTTGTATTTTTCAAACAAAGACATGCTACATCAGAGTATTAGTTAGAAAAAAGCCCATCCAGACTAGTTTGAACAGGGTGTGAAGAGGCGCTCTCCCTGGATGATAGGAGTGCAGGCCAGCTGGGTGCAGATCTCAGAGCGCTGGCTCTGCCTTTACTTCTGATTCTTCAAGTGTATTATGCTAATAGATTAGTATGGATTATATTTCACACGATTAATCCAAATCTGCTAATTAACTAAAGGCACTACATCAATGTAGTGTAGTAAAATACAAGATTTACCTCTAAATTGTAGTGGACTAGAAGAACAATTAGCAAAACATTTAAATACACAAGTAAAGTACAGGTTCCTCTAAATTGTACTTGAATACATCTACTTAGTTACTTTACAACACTGGTTACAGCAACAGACGGCTCGAAGCTAAACCCCATATTGTCCTCTTTCACTGAGCTCGCAAGGTCCCACATGGCTAAGAAGCACAAATGACCCGCCTCTTGTAACGGAGACCTAGCCTACAATTGGCTGACACTGCTGTCAATCACTGCCTGGTTTGACAGGCGCACCCGCCTTGCCTCTATTGTCACCGGTGCGAGGAATATATATCTTAAACATGGAGAAGGAAGAAAACATCAGAGGTGAGCCGCTCTCACACACTTTGTTAAGTTATCATTCATGTGCTAATGTTCCCTGCTGGCTTTTAGCATGTTGTTAGCTCGCTCACTATCAATGTCTTCAGTGGATTCATTGAACGGGGAGTCATTTAGGCTTGTACTTTATTGTATGCAGAAATGTTTTTTAAAAAGCCGTATAGCTTATTATCGACAATTGACAATGGAGTCCGCATGTACGTCGGCTGCCCTACAGCAGTTTCTATTCAACGTGTGTAGGCTACTTTAGTGTTTTTATTAGTCCAATTACAGACCTACAATATGTAAGGTGATGGCTGCTATTTACTCGTGCTACTGCCTTTTCAAGGGAAGTTTACTTAAATGTTGATTTAATAGCATCTTAGCATCATTCTTGTTATGGTATTACTACTACCATAATATACCGTAATATATATTAGACCTAGTAGTACCTTTTTTATTTATTTATTATTATTTTAATTACATTTTAACCTTATTTTACGGCAGGCCTAAATAATGGTAATAAACGGGGATATTGTGATGTGTTGGAGTGTACAGATGAGTCGGTATTAAAGTGAGGGTCAGTGTTGTGAATGGACTAAGGGATACAAAGGACCATGTGGGGAGAGGAGAGACAGCAGGGAGAGGTGGAGGAAGGAGGGTGATTGATTGGCTGAATGGCTGAGTGGGGGAGTAAACCCTGGGCTGGAGGCTGCATGCTGCTCCAGCATCAGCAGCCTGCAGGAGGACCAGCTGGGGCCTCAGTCTCTGTCAACTCCCCTTGCTGTGACCTCCAGACAACAGTATATGTCTACTGAGAAGAAAAAAGCTATATACATGTATTTATTAAATGTATAACGTTAGGACATCTTTATATTGAGGATGTTAAGATATTTAGTCAGGGCTGTCAAATACAACAGAGCAACCTGACAGACAGAGCATGAGCTGTACAGTTGTAGGCTGGAACTGATAATAGTATAAAACAATGATAACCATGGAACATCTAAGTTAGCCTACGGATTTCTTCAAAAAAGCAATTATATTGTTTACCATCGTCCAGAAGTGAACATATTACAAAACCAATTATCAGAATGGAGGCAGGCAACTTTCTCTCAATCTACTAATCAATTTATTTACTAATCATGTCAGCCCTAATGAAAATACTCAAGTTAATTATTGTGCAAAAACTGTATTATACAGACAAGACAACTTTATATTTTGCACAGGGATTTTACAAACCTTTGAGAATCAAAATAATTTCAAAGTACATTATACTTTCCATTATATAAAACAAGACATCCTCAAGTATTAAATGTTGTCAACAGAAGCACAAGAAACTGACAGTACTTACACAATTCAGTCAAAACCAAAAAGGCATTAACCTACAATGACTGTTTTCGGACTTCATTTGTATGACTGTCTCCACTTTCCTTACCTTAGCTGACCTGTCTCATAAATTATAATTCCATGAACTCTTTGAAATTGTGTGTGTGTGTGTGTGTGTGTGTGTGTGTGTGTGTGTGTGTGTGTGTGTGTGTGTGTGTGTGTGTGTGTGTGTGTGTGTGTGTGTGTGTGTGTGTGTGTNCACATATTTTTGGGAAATAAATAAATAAAGATAGATAAGTATTACACTTACATAAACTTGATCTCCTACTGGAGTATTTGTTGTAGCACTATACATGTTTTAAGTGTAATACTTATCTATCTTTATTTATTTATTTCCCAAAAATATGTGAGCAGGCTTGCATCAAATCATGTACACACACACTCCAACATCCCTGAAACCTGCGTAACTTATTACCAGTTTTTTTTTGTGAAGTATTTTAAGGACTTCCTCTATTTCCTTGCAGTGCAGTGTGCAAATCGCAACACCATCTAAAGAGGACCTATCATGCAAAATGCACTTTTGTACATCTTTTATACATGAATATGTGTCCCCGGTGTGTCAGGGAACTCACCAAGTGTCAGAAAACACAACCCTCTCTCTTTTCTTCCATACGCAAATCTCTAAAAACGGGGCTGCAACGGATCTGATACAGACTGATACAGATTTGAAATTGAAACGGGGTGCTCCGTCTATATGGGCAACTCTCCACCTATCAGGGGAATGAGAGGTTGCGTGGCATGGTAACAGCATGGTAACAGCATGGTAACAGCATGGTAACATGACGCTCGTGCCTCACCCCCCTCCTTTGCAGGGGGGCGTGGTCAGCTGCAGCTCATTTGCCACAGAATCAGCCCTTGTGAAGACAGGGCTGGAATAGAGCAAATAGAGCGAAATGAGGCATGGCTAAAATGCATGATCTGTTTGGTATTTTGAAAAAAAAACTTCACTGACATGTTTTATATAGTTATGGCCCTACCATATATTATTCAAATATAGCATGATAGGTCCACTTTAAGGTACCATTCTTTTAGAACACGTCAATGATTCTAAAAAACACTGTTTACTTTTACTGATGTAGCAGGATATCTAAAGATCCTTCCATCAATGTTTCTACTTTGGGTGGATTAAACCTAATTCAATAAATTAACAATTGAAAATATGCTATCTGATCTGAATTAATATGAAATCCCTGCTGAATCCATTTGTATTGAATCAACATTGAACTGAAATGGATGTGAAATGTATCTTTAGGTTTATGTAGGTTCCTAATTATTCATCAAGACATTTGAGGATAGATACACAGAAGGCTGTAGAGCTCAAAATGGTAATTTCAACCCCCCAAATTAAACCCCCTACAACATTTATTTTCACCAGCAATAAAAAGTAAATCTGCATTTTTAACTTCAATTAAATGTAATGCCAATTGTATCCTATCACATGATACTCGAAATCCATTCGCAAACAAGCTGTCAAGAATATAATTCGGGTAGAGAAAAAATGAAATCAATTATAATTGTATTATATTAAACTAAATTAGTTTTTTTCTTTCTGAAGTAAAGTGAAAGATGTGTAGTCTAAAAATAATTTGGGCACTGGGCATTAAATATGAGCTCCTGTGGTTTTCCTTTTTTGTTTCTACTACAATTGTTTTATTTTTCTGGGATAACACTTCACTCAGAGCTGCTCTCTGACACGAAGCCTAGCCTGTATCATGACGCAATACAATTCCAATAATGACACCCCTGTCCACATATTTTTGGCCAAAGAGTTATCCATTGTTTATAAAAACAAAAGGAGGCCATACGGAAACCATCTTTACAGAAATGAAAGACCTGGCTGATACTTGATCCTTCCTATTTCAGCTTTCTGGCTGTGCCTTCACTTCTCTTTTAACGGCCTGTGTTAGATTAGATTAGGATTAAAGCTCACCTCCAGTCTGGTGCGGTCCACGTCCCTGGGAAGCTTCACTTTCACTCTATGCGTCACTGCCAGAACTTCATAAGGGTAGATCTGGCACACAGAGAGTAAGCATTGTGGGAGATTTATTAGGCTAAGCAGCCAAGACTGTTATTCGTAATGTATTACCAAATGAGGGAAATCTTACCTTGTATTCTGAGAGGCATGAAAAGAGAGAAAGAGAGAATTAGTCTGCTTGAAAAAAACGTTTTTATTTGAAACGCACACAAGTGTGTACACACACACACACACACACACACACACACACACACACACACACACAAGCATGTACACACACACACACACACACACACACACACACAATGTCCCCTCAGGTACAGATGTTTGAACCCTATATGTCCCCTCAGGTACAGATGTTTGAACCCAATGTCTCCCCTCAGGTACAGATGTTTGAACCCTATATGTCCCCTCAGGGTACCGGATGCGTATCGGGTCCAGCACGGAGAAGAAGGACTCAGGGAGGATCCATGTGGACTTCGCTCAGGCGCGGGACGATCTGTATGAGTGGGAGTGTCAGCAGCGCCTCCTGGCCCGTGAGCAGCGACACCTCCGATTCGTCCACGAGGACAGACTCCTCCCCCCCTCTCCTCCTCCCATCGTGCACTTCTCTGAACACGAGGCGGCCATGTTGGCAGAGAGACTGAAAGGTGAGGACGGGCAGAGGGGGGAAGTATTGGAGTACAAATACTTTGTTACTGTACTTAAGTACATGTTTCTGGTATCAGTACTTTACTCCACTACTTATTTTTCTGACCACCTTTTACTTTGACTTCTTACATGTTGAACTCAAATACCTGTACTTTCTACTTCTTACATGTTGAACTCAAATACCTGTACTTTCTACTTCTTACATGTTGAACTCAAATACCTGTACTTTCTACTTCTTACATGTTGAACTCAAATACCTATACTTTCTACTTCTTACATGTTGAACCCAAATACCTGTACTTTCTACTTCTTACATGTTGACTACAATAACCTGTACTTTCTACTTCTTACATGTTGAACACAAATACCTGTACTTTCTACTTCTTACATGTTGAACACAAATACCTGTACTTTCTGCTTCTTACATGTTGAACACAAATACCTGTACTTTCTACTTCTTACATGTTGAACCCAAATACCTGTACTTTCTACTTCTTACATGTTGAACTCAAATACCTGTACTTTCTACTTCTTACATGTTGAACTCAAATACCTGTACTTTCTACTTCTTACATGTTGAACTCAAATACCTATACTTTCTACTTCTTACATGTTGAACTCAAATACCTGTACTTTCTACTTCTTACATGTTGAACTCAAATACCTGTACTTTCTACTTCTTACATGTTGAACTCAAATACCTGTACTTTCTACTTCTTACATGTTGAACACAAATACCTGTACTTTCTACTTCTTA